GGTGTCTGATTAGCTCTGCCGCGTCCAGCACTGATGCATAGTGCATATGTGCCACTTGGGGTGAGATGGCGTCATTGACACTATGACCTTTTGGGGAGGATAAATCCACTATGAGTCGCCACCTGCCTGGCTGATGCGGCTTAGGGATTAGCCCAATCGGACTGCAGTGGCACAGTGGGATGAGGTGCTCCGGGATGGGCCCCATTAGCCGCCCCTTCTCTATCTCTTCTGCAATATGGACATCGACTAGATCTGGGTGCTGACGCACCGACGGGAAATTCCCGGGGCCTGGCCGGAGCGATAGGCATGCCCGATCTGCTCCGATATGGAAGCCGTGCCGCATACCGGACAGGATGTAGTGAGCAAATGCTTTATCCGGATGTGCTGCTAATGCCTGCTGCCAGGCGGCAACCGCGAGGGGTGTGGCAGGCCGAAAACACTGTGGTCCAGTGTGGGTGGCCGTTGCCTCAATCGTCCGGAGGTCAGACATGTACATATACTTGCCATTGCAGATATTTCCTATCTGGACCCGGCCTGGAAGTTAAGAAGGAGTGGGGGGATAACATAGGCTATATGGAGTGGATATACTAATGTCGGCTTATATACGCCGGTATATATACATTGGGAGGTGGGTTCCCCCCTTTAGATCAGTGTCTCAGCATAATATAGAGGTCCTTCTGCATCTAAATGAGTCTAGGCCTGCATGCCGCCTCCTCCCTGCTCTCGGGAGGGCCTGGGAGTGGAGCCGGAGGTCAGCTTATAATGTGAGTCCGCCGGAGTCTCCTCACACTCTTTGGCTCTATGCCCCCTGCGCTTGCAAGTGGCACAGATATGCCGGAAGGAGCAGGAGGGGAAAGAGCAGCGGCCGCGATTCCAGGAGATGCAGATCCTCTCTGCTGTCTCTGGGCGTGATGTCCTGCGGATTGGCCCGCCCTGCTGGGACTGACTCCCGGATGTGGAGCGCGTGGTTGGGAGAGAGGGCGGGGAAGCCTGCAATCCCACCAGAGCACAGTTATGGATGCCATGGTCTGGCTCATGGCACAACCCACAGCACTGACTGGTCCCGGAGCGGTAAGTCATGATGGTAGAGGCGTGTAGGCTAGGGTTGAGCTCATTCCACTGCACCGACGGTCCAGCGAGCGCATGCTGCGAAATATTTTGTCATAATTCCTGCCACTCCTGGGCCGCCGCTGGCGCTGGGCTACCATTCACACCAGGCCGCCCGTATGTGAGGAGGTTGCGTGTCTTGGCATCAGTGGAGCACTGCTGCCGCAGGATGCTAGGAGAAACAGGACACCCAGGTCTGCGGGGAACTGGACTGTCCCGCAGCCGTGCTTACGCAAAGCCTGCATAGATGCTGTGTGGCCCTGGGATGCAGTGTCGCTGTCAGCGGAAGCGTGTTTGCCACGGAGAGGGGATGGGTGGGCAAGCCCCGGAGAGCGAAAAAGGTGGGCACTGTAGAGAGGCAGTAGGGCCGGAATGACACCCAGGGCTGCGGGAGGGGAGGAGGGGGTTAATCGACACAGCGCACAGCCCGCGCGCGACACAGTACATAACCCCTACTGGCATACACACGGTCCCTGTGCGGTGCTGGCTGTGGCGGTCTTGGGCTCCGGCCCGGCCGTGCTGTGCCCTGACTGGCAGGCGTGCAGGTGCACTGCCATCGGCCGGTGCAGGATGCCCTGACCTGGGCATGCGGGGTCCTGACCTCGGCAGTGCGGAGCTTGACTGGCTGTGCTGATGCTGACCTGGGCGGTGTCTACTCATGACGTTCGGGAAGCCGGCCTGCATGGCTTGGGTGTCCTGCGCAGTTCCCAGGATGCCGCAGCTGGGCGCACGCCCCCGTGCCGCTGCTGAGCCAGCTGCGTGCCCCTTGGACCAGACCGGCCCTGGCTGAGCAACTTTTATTAACGGTGCTGGCAGGAGTTCGTGTGTGGGAGTACGAGTGAGAGTGTGAGGCAGAGTGCCTGTGTGTGTGTGTGCGTGTGTGTGTGTGTGTGTGTGTGTGTGGGCAGACATGTGAGTAAATATGCGGGCCCAGCCTCTGTCTTGCCTGATTGCTGGTGCCGACCCGGGAGGAGTGGCGGCCTTGACCAGGCTACCCTCCAGGCCGGTGCTACCCACGCAGGGTTGGGCCGACATGCGTGGGCAGATACGAGAGGGCCTTAGTGCTTCGTGACTTACCGCTGGACGGTCCTCCAGTAGTGGTGGCCGCGGCCGGGGGCGGCGGTGTGCCCGACGCCGACGGGAGCGTCCCAGCTAGAGCTGCCCTGATCTCCTGTTGCACGATCAGCCGCAACGAATCGAGTGAAGGTGAAATGGTCGTTGCCGGCGGTGCTGGCGATGTCCCGGACGAGGTAGGAGGATCCGTAGCTGGCGGGGGATCGCGGCCCGGAGATGCCATCAGATCGAATCGAGACAGGAGTGGCGATGTGATGGAGATACTTTGCAGCCAAGTGTCTGTCGTTGCCAGTTGCCAGAACCGGGCCACGAGATTGAGCGCTGACTAAGCACCACTGTGCGCATGCGTGGCGTTGACGTGGCCACGTAATATTAACCTAGCTTAACACTATCGTGTTACTGCATTGGTACCACATTGTTAGAGACCATCCATAAGCAAGTTATAGCACAAACACATTTTACTACAAGTTTTTGTTTGCCTGAGGCTGTTTGTTGTTGTTTACAAACTTGTAATGTTTACATTTTGATACTAATGATGGGTTGCATGTGTGTACAAAGTTTTATCACTCTGGGTATTAGCTTTACCCAGTTAGCACACTTTATTTGTCTCTATAATAATGTATTGCCTGGGGCTATTTGTTGTTGTTTACGAAGAAATAAAAATGTTCTTTACGACCTGTCATGGATTCCAATCTTTGTGCAAAGTTTGATCTTCATATCTTACCCGGTTTTTGAGATACGCTTGTTGAAACTGAACAACAACAACAACAACAACAACAACAAGAAAAAGAAAATTGAAAAGTGCGATTTAAGCTATTTCTTGGATACGTGCTCTTTGTGACGATACAAATTAGTCTGATGTGTCAAAAGTTGGATCTGGAAAGTGAAACATGAAAATCCCAATGTATGGGCATAATGCAGGACAACCTGTGTCATCCCTCTATACTAAGTACTACCGTACTTAGTGATAGAGCATACTGCATTTACTGTGCAGAAAATGTTGAACCACAACCTGGCATGATGTCAGTCTTGCAGTCAATTAATATGACACTAAGTGATGTACAGCAACAACTAAGTATTATGCAGGAGCATAATAACCTGCGTGATTCCATACTTAAGAAGGTTGAGAAAGATGTTGCAGATTTAGAGAAAGAAATACCAAAAGAAACACCAAAACTCAAGCAAGGTCGTAATAGTCCCCGGGGATTAAGTGTAAGTGTGCGTAAAGATCATGCATCTTTTGATGACGATGAGCAGTACAATGCTGACGAAAGGTAATTAGAAATCAATGTTTTTGACCTATCAAGATAACATTTCCCTTTCAGGGTAAATTCTTCCCATAACAAAGTTGTAACAGACAAAATAGTCAAAGATGTTGTGGGTGCTGGGGATTATGAGGAAAAGTCAGATATTGCATGTGAGTGCTTGATTTTGCGTAAAAAAGAAGTAATTTCTTAGGTGCTGCTAAGAAGTACCATGAATACCTTGTGAGGCAACAAAAACCTCTAACCCAAGCCCAAAGGAAGGTGGTTTCCAAAAAGAACCGGTTAATACAAAGAAGACAGCGAGTGAGTAGTTTTATTATAACATTCCAATTTCATTTACACTGCAGTTGTTTGAAAGGCGTCTCAAACATGGAGAAGTGAAAGACTAAACACTCTTATACAAAAGCTTGATTTTAGATACATGGAGGCAAGGAAGAAGAAAGAAAACTCGAAACCCCTCAAGGCACGCAAGGATGGATCGCCATCGAAGAGAGGAAAGCCACCAAATCCACCGAAATGGGCAGTGAAAGAATTAGATATTTCAGATGAAGATGCTAATCCAACTACAGCTTCTGAGGAAGCTCCAGCTTCCCCCGAAGTATTAAGCGATCTCGAGGCTCCTGAGACAGATGAAATAGACTCATGGCTGTACGAACTGACTGGTGTTCAGATGTAGTGTGTATGTGACTTTTGACACTGACATTGCCTTGTACAAATCTTTTTTCCCCTCTCAACACTGTCAAGTGCACAAGCCAACAGCGAAGAAATGTAGAAAATTATTCTATATTATTATTATACTGAGCACTCAAATAGTATTCTGACATGAAGTAAAAAGTAGGTCTGACATATACTGAAATAGATGTATGTAGCTATACTCTGACATATTCTGGAGTTTTCTGTGAGTTTCCTGTATTCATAATACTTCATACTATTTATGTGAACTTGTACTGACATATTATGGATATATTATGTCAGAATAACTTACAGAATATGTCAGTAACCAAACAGAATATTAAAGCTATTCTGAAAGATTCTGATCATATTATAATCCAGGCGTTTTTGTAGTGCACAGTTCGCCGAGGGTTTGCACTTTAGTGCTTTTCATTGGAACTAGTAAGACATCTCCCACTGCCCCTTTCCCCCCTTCACTTCATTCACTGTACTTCTCTCAATCCTTTATTGGCGAGCAAAGCGGGTCTAGTCGTATTTGTCTCAATGCAGCCTTTTTCCTACACTGATCTGTGACAAGCACTGCACATACCACAATGCTCTATGTGATTCTAACTATGCTTGTGCTAACCAAAAATATAAGTTGCATTTGTTCTAGTGAATATGTAGCACCACGTTATGCTTTTGGATGTTTTAACTATGTTTATCGTTGTGGCTTGTGCAAGTAGATCCAAGGAGGGGAAAGTTTTATAAAAAAAAAGAGATAAAAGTGTGTGTCATAACTTCAAATACAAGAGAGTGGGAAGTTGGTAAGGGGACCCACCCTAAATGAACCTCAGTAGTATTTCACATGATAATTATGTTTTATCGTCTATTTCTTTGCAGCGGACAATCACATTCAGATCAAGTTCAGCGGGCGACACAAGTGTAGAGATGCAACCTCTCAGGTCCACCATTGACATGAATTGCGGCCTCTCTGGCCTAACACTGACAGGTCTGCATAATTATTATACCCCACTGGGTGGGATATGTATGTACAGCTGTACCTGTACCTCTGGTCTTACCTTGTCTTGTTCACGTCTCTATATTTAGAACGTGTTGTATCTTACGGAGTTCTTGGGAGACACACGTACGCCTGCCCCGTGGAGGACATGTGAGTTGCAGGCGTCTTAGTATCCTCCTTGTATATGAATGGTGCTGATGTAATAGTATAGAGTTATCTAGTTATAAATGTGTTCTGTAGGATTCAGAAATGGACAAGTGTGAAGATCAGCTGAAGTCAAATGAATATGATGGACTCATATTTTTACTAAACAAACTAAAGAGCTCTGAAGGGTGTGTAATTATGTGATAGTAAAGTTTTTGGCAAGCAAAGTTTTGAAGTTAGGTGCCAACGCGACACTGTAGCTCTAACCCTAAATTTCTAACCCCGTAGCTCTAACCCTAAACTTTCCCTGTCCTGACTGAACGATTCAGATGAACTCTTTCTCTCACGCTATTGTCAATGTGGAGTGTGTGGACGACAGTGCTGACGTTAGCAGAGCTGAAACTGTGAGCAACTGTTTCTTAGCAGTGAAACAGGGTTTGAGAGTGAATGTCTCCACAGATGGAGTTTGTGAAAGTCACTACGTCCACCGCTGGCAGTGAGAGGCGCACATTCTATCACTTCAACATGTGGACCAAGAAAGGCTGCTCCTTGTAAGAACACTGCAATTAGCAACAACCGGTGAGATTGGTATCATGTGTGCGTTTATCTCTATGGATCGTAGGCATTACTACGTAGGCATGGATTTACACAAAATGGGGAAAGTATATACATGGTGGACCCTAAATGCTAGTATTGTATGTGGAGTTGGCTAACTGTTACTGTAGGCCATGTGCATCTTGCCAGTGCTAGTAAGTAAGAGTTACAAGTTCTCTGCTAAGTGTGTGCGTATAAGAGCTGGCACTTTCTTCACCGGGTTACCATGCACAGAGTAATTAATCCTCGCTCCCGATCTCATGCCTGGGAGATTCAAAGAATGGTTCAATAATGTTACTCTGCAGCTCTACACCAACCACAGCACCGTACACTCCCACCAATCATCACAAGAGTACAGATAATGGCGGGGACCACAGTGGTAGCAGTGGTTCGTCTGGCTTTGGTGGTACCTCATCGACCGTTGTGGCTCTGTTGGTCACACTAGTGATACTGATGGTAGCCACCATTTTTCTCGGCTTTATCTTCTACAAGAAAGAGAGACGGTAAGCTAAGGAGTACCCCACAGTCTGTAGCTCATTAGATTGTGTTCCTTGTAGGGATAGATTTATTAACTTGTTCAAGAACAAGTCATCTGAACCGGTCAAGTATGAAAAGGTGAGTAACAATAGTGTACAGTGTACTTAAGATGTGCCTCTCTAAAAAAAAAGGGATCTGGAGAAGAAGTCGGGATTACGACAGAAGAGTCTGCGGTGGATTGTTTGTCTTTCTCTCCCCACGAAATTGGCAGAGAAAATGGCCATTAACCACAAGTTTGCATTTCCTATACTGTTGATACAACTACAACTCAAAATCCAGACCTAACTCAAACTCGTGATTTGAAGCTTTTCCAATTATTACTGGGGCCATCTTAATTTCCCAAGACTATCTTAACTTGCCAAAACCTCACTCAGCTAAGTTTGTAGCTAGCCACCCAGTGTTTTCTGCTCTATACTGTGCAGTTACCAATGACTCTTACCGAGGAGACGTCTCTACTGGAGGAGGGTAGTAGTGGGAGTGAACATGGGGAGGGGAGTGGGGAGGAAGAGGGGGAAGGGGGAGGAGGGGAGGGAGGGAAGAGAAGACCCCGTGACAAAGACGAAGAACTCATTATTTTATAGTGTGACTGTCTCACAACTGTACACATCCTTCACTGCCATTGTTTTAACTATCCTTGATCCAGTATTGCTTTTTGCTGGAACAATTGAGCACAATTTGCCAAGTCAGCAAAAACACGTTCGCTAGTGTATGTCCGCTGTCGTATTGTGGTACTTTGATGACTAGTTATGCTTGATTATGTCAACAACCAAGATATTCTGGTAATAAACAGATACACGTAATATTAGTTAAGGTTAGAGTACAATGTTTCTATTGCTGCTTTAACTTTCCTTTTCCCAGTTCTCCATAGAGTTGCTCCTAATGCACGAATCTTCAAGTATCGTTTGTAATCTCCTTTTGGAACCTTCTTTCCCTCCACCCCTTCCTCTTGTTCCCGGTTGTCGTAGGGAGCTTCCGCCAACATCTGTCCTCGGAACCTACTGACTACTTCATCTACTTCCTCTTTTGCTGTAGAAGTCTCAGGATGCTGTATATAGGGATAATGTATTTCCTACAGTCCAATGAATGTGTGGATACAGTGAACCCAATGCATGTGTTGGATACAGTGAATCCAATGCACGTTTGGCAAACAAGCGTGAAAGTAAAGTTTGTAGCCTCATTCCCAGGCCTCCCCCGATACATGTATGTTTATGCGACGTGGCTTTTGGACTGTCCTGTGTGCGCCATGCGCCGTGTAAAAAAACACATAATGCAGAAGGCCAGGGAAAGACGTTAGGTGCCCTGGTAGTTTAGTTGGTAGAGTGCTTGCCTAGAGAGCAGAGTGTCACGGGTTCGAGTCCCACCTAGGGCAGCTCTTCCTTTTTCCAGGAAAAAAGAGTTGTCCTGGGTGTAGTTGACTTGTTTGCTTTGCCCTTGCCATTCTATCTCACCTTGTTGTTGTCACATGCAATGTGCATCATCCACTGTGATACTTGCAACACTTTGAGACATGGGTATGTATGGCAGGATAGAGAAGCTATGTCTTACCTCCACATCAGTGGTGCTATCTGGCTGCCCCCAGTGGTTTAGTTCATTGCAGACATCAGGAAACTCATTAGCAGATGCAATAGTCAATGCTGTCACACCCGCCTACAGTAGTGACAGATAATTAGATAATATTTAGAGTGAGCTAGGTTCGAATTGACCAATCAGATTGCAAAGCCGAGGTTTACTATTACCCGTAGTAAACCTCGACGGGGTTTACTACTAGTAAACCTACAGATAAAACAGGAAAACATAACTAAATGTACATGTACAACAAGATCAACAAACAGAATCTACATTGCCGCGTCGTCCACGCGCACGCGCAGACCATGCGCGCAGGGAAAGAAGGCGGAGTCATTACCACGCGTCTTTTCTGCCGACTTCGCCCTCGCGCTCTGAGCCAGTCTCCATCGAGTCATCGTTAGAAGTGCTCCGCCCATACGAACGAATAGGAAAGCCAGAGCGCTCAACGTGAAGCACGCTAAAATAGTTAGACGCTGATTCCTCAGTAACTACGCGCCGGTAGAAAGCCTCGTGCCCCGGGGGTAACGCCCTCGCTGCGCTCGGGGCGCCACAATGCCAGGGCTCTCGTAGTTACCTCGATTCAGCGTCTAACTAATTATATATATTGACGTATTTTGGCAAGTGAAGTGAGCAGTTCGATTTTGTGAGCGTTTTGCGTATAATCACGCGTAACATCATGGTATGTGCAGTGGTCGACATTACATAATGAAAATTCCGCATTCAGACGACTAGGCAGGCAAGTGAAGTTATGAGTGTAGCTCACCGAATTCCTGATCAGTGGGTCAGCTCCATGTCCCATGAGGACCTTCACTGTGTCCAGATGACCTCCCTTGCAGGCAAACATCAGAGCTGTGTATCCAGTATTCTATGGAGGACATGTGATACATCAAGCACAGCACTGCGAAAGCTATCACAATGGGTACAATTGTCTTTGCTGTGATACTCAACTGATTGCTGGAGGTTAGGATTAGCTTGAGGGTCAAGTAGCAGTTTTGTCATCTCTGAGTCTCCTTGTTCACAACACATCATCAGAGGAGAGAGTCCTCCCTGCACATAAACCACACATACAAACAACCTCTAATGTCACATGGGTTACTAACAAACCTGCTCCATTTGGTTCACATTGGCATTAGCTTGTACTAATTCCCTGACCATTGCCAGGTTTTTGTGTCTTACAGCCTGCAGCAGTGGAGTCTGTCCACGCTGGAGGAGATAATAAGAGTCAGAAGTGCAGTTGGAGAGTTAGTAAGATTACGTTATTGCAGCCATTTGGGTAGGCACCAGCTCTCAGGAGGACAGAAGCTGTGGTCAAGTCATTGTTCTGACAGGCTAGCAACAGTGCTGTGTCATTATACTGCAGTAAGAACACCATCATTGTACTCCATGCAACAATAACCAATCCCATAATACCTTCTTGGTAATAAGGTCTACTGTGGCTCCATGTTGTAATAGCTTTTCCACCACCTCCACATGTCCCCTCAGAGATCCAGCCATCAGTGAACTCCACCCATCCTGACGTGACACACAGAGTAGTAGGTAATGAATTTGGCAAAAAACCGTTTTGATTCAGTATCCATGATAAGCCAATCTGAATCGCAGTTTTTCATGCCATAAGTCTTGAACGCAATACTTTTACGAACTTTGCCAAATTTAAAATTAGCCGTTGTATCTCTGAACCTTTTGATATCGCTCTTTTGTTGTCCCGTTTCTCGTGGTGGCAGAAAACGTGGTAACAGACGGACAAACCATAGATAATGATCCTAATATAGTACATATGTTAAGCTGTGGTGAGAGGAGCTATAAGCCATGAGCATTTTCGGGTAAAAAGAAAGACATTGGGCCGGCTTCTTAAACAATGAAGCCAAATGTTTTTATGCTATTTGGAAAATGATGGATGCTTCATGTATAATTATATAACTGATAAAACGGAATGCAATCTGCTGTGTTGCTAATCCCGCAACTGACCTAGACGACACCCTTTTTCAGAGAACACATGTTCCCTTCACCACTGTTCTGAGACTACGTTTTGCATGCACGTTTGCTAGCATTGCGTATGTACATATAGTGTGTGTACCTCCTTTTGCAGGTCTACTGTGGCTCCATGTTGTGATAACTTGTCCACCACCTCCACATGAAGGTATTAGACCATATGATGCCAAGAGAAAAAAGATGCGGAGCTCTGGACAGCTGTATCGGGCTAGTTGGCTCTCATCAGCAGAGCATACCGCAACTTCTCTCTCTGGCATCACGAGTTTATAAAGGCTACCAGGAGCGCAGCATTTGTGGTTCTGAACTAATGAGATTCATCCCCACAAGGCTTTGCCACTGGTATGTGCTACTGACCATGCCCAGACATTCGTGGTTTGGAGCGTATAGGCCCCTCCCCACTCCTGCTGGCTGGTGAAGGCCAGCACCGAGCCAAAACCCGAACTCGCAATCTGGCATGCAGCCATCAGTGAACTCCACCCATTCTGACGTGACACACAGAGAAGTAGGTAATGAATTTGGCAATAATGGTTTTAAATCAGTATCCATGATGAGCCAATCTGAATCATAGTCTTATCATCTAGGTGGTTTTATAGAGAGTATTATACTAACATGATTACACATCATGCCATGCTAAACCTGACCCTGAAATCGTACTTTTGCATTGATTAGACATGATTAACCTTTCTCATGTGGTCACTAACATTTTACTCATTATTTTAAAATAGTGTTAAGCAATTGATATACACCTTATTTTGAAGATCAACTGTGGCTCCATGTTGTAATAACTTGTCCACCACCTCCACATGTCCCTCCTCAGATGCAGCTATCAGTGAACTCCACCCATCCTGCCATGACACACAGAGTAGTAGGTAATGAGTTTTGCAAAAAACTGTTTTTATTCAGTATCCATGATAAGCCAATCTGAATCGCAGTTTCAGTTGGTTTGTACGCCAGAAGTCTGGACGCAGTACTTTTACAAAATTCACTAAATTTAAAATCAAGCCAGTGTATTGCTGAACTTTTTGGTATCACTCTTTTGTTAGCAAGTTTGAGTAGTGAAGAAGTAATTTTAAAGAAAAGTGCCTGAGGCTATTTGTTGTTGTGGTCGTCATGGAAACAATGTTACACACACGCGTACCAAGTTTCATCTACATGTGTGGTACAGTTAGCGAGTTTGAGGAATGAAGAATTAATTTTAAAGAAAAGTGCCTGAGGCTATCTGTTGTTGTGGTCGTCATGGAAACAATGTTACACACACACATACCAAGTTTCATCTCCATGTGTGGTACTGTTAGCGAGTTTGAGGAGTGAAGAAGTAATTTTAAAGAAAAGTGCCTCAGGCTATTTGTTGCTGTGGTCGTCACGGAAACGATGCAATACACATGCGCAGCAAGTTTCACCTCCATGCGTGCCACAATTAGCAAGTTTGAGGAGTGAAGAAGTAATTTAAAGAAAATTGCCTTAGGCCTTTTCGAACAACATGCAGTCGTCATGGAAACATGTAATTATCATGGAAATGATATAATAGGCATACGCACCTAGTTTCATCTCTATGCGTGCTACAGTTAGCAAGTTTGTGGAGTACTATGTGCCTGAGGCTATTTGTTGTTATTTACAAACATGTGTTGTTGTGATTTTGATGTTGGCTATTGAATCCATTATGTATAAACTTTCTTTCACATAGCTCTTACCAATTGTGAGTTACACCGACACATCTAGTATGCCCATTATAAATGTATTGCCTGGGGCAATTTGTTGTTGTTACAGTAAACAACGAAGAAGTATTATTTATAGAAAAGTGCCTGAGGCTATTTGTTGTTATTTTTACAAATATGTATTGTTGTGATTTTGATGTTGGCTATTGAATTCATTATGTATAAAAACTTTCTTTCACATAGCTCTTACCAATTGTGAGTTACACCGACACATGTAGTATGCCCATTATAATGTATTGCCTGGGGCAATTTTGTTGTTGTTTACAAACAAAAAAAGTATAACGTCGCACATGTGGTTATCGATATGTACGTTCCTACAAAATTTCATGGCTTTATCTCTTTCGGTTTTTGAGTTACGCTGGTCGAACAGGAAGAAGAAGAAGAAGAAGAAGATGAAGATGATTAACAAAACTCCCTATCATAGCCCCATACATCTATGATGCTAGGTACCATGTCAATCCCTATATAACAAGTAAAAAAAGAGTGCATATAGGGATCGTATAAAAAGAAAGGGAGACAAGATAGGGATTGTGTTTGTGGAAACACAGAGATGCTAGCGAGGAGTTATGACTCCCACAGGTCATTACAACAGCCCTATATCGTCGTACGGTGGGAGTACCTAGCATCATAGATGTATGGGGCTATGATAGGGAAAGTTTTCAATCTTCTTCGTAGGGTTGGAGTGGGAGTGATGAGAGAGTCTGCTATAGGTAATGAAGTACTTACTAATTACCTTTGATAGATTTGTCATGCTACATTTCCATGGAGTGCACATTTAGGTGGAAGTGTAATCAGCCGACCATAACATTGGATATACATGTATATACATGTACAAGTGGAAAAATCATTTCTTCAAAATGAAAGGGGGATATAGGGATGGCTTGAAGCACCAAAAAGGAAGAAACAAGGGGTCATCACACAGCAAAGTTTCACAAAGCTACATGACACCATCCCTATATCGTTGTTTTATTGTTTATAAGCAAAGTTTAATATCGAACAAAGATATAGGGATGGTGTCATGTAGCTTTGTGAAACTTTGCTGTGTGATGACCCCTTGTTTCTTCCTCATGGAAACGATGTAATACACATGCGCACAAAGTTTCACCTCCATGCGTAGTACCGTTAGCAAGTTTGAGGAGTGAAGAAGTAATTTTAAAGAAAAGTACCTAAGGCTATTTGTTGTTGTAGTTGTCACGGAAACGATGTAATACACATGCGCACCAAGTTTCACCTCCATGCGTGGTACCGTTAGCAAATTTGAGGAGTGAAGAAGTAATTTTAAAGAAAAGTGCCTAAGGCTATTTGTTGTTGTAGTTGTCATGGAAAGTGTCTGAGGCTGTGGTCATTATGGAAACGATGTAATACACATGCGCACCAAGTTTCACCTCCATGTGTGCTGCTGTTAGCAAGTTCGAGGAGTGAAGAAGTAATTATAAAGAAAAGTGCCTGAGGCTATTTGTTGTTGTGGTCGTCATGGAAACAATGTAATACACATGCGCACCAAGTTTCACCTCCATGAATGGTACCGTTAGCGAGTTTGAGGAGTGAAGAAGTAATTTTAAAGAAAATTGCCTGAGGCTTTATCACAATATGCGGTCGTCATAGAACATGGAAACATGTAATCGTCATGGAAATGATATAATAGGCACACATACCAAGTTTCATATTATGCGTGCTACCATTGGAAAGTTTGAGAAGTGAAGAAGTATTATTTAAAGAAATGTGCCTGGGGCTATTTGTTGTTATTTACAAACATGTATTGTTGTGATTTTGATGTTGGCTATTGAATACATTGTGTATACAAACTTTCTTTCACATAGATCTTACCAATTGTGAGTTACACCGACACATCTAGTATTGCCATTATAACGTATTGCCCATTATAATGTATTGCCTGGGGAAATTTTGTTGTTGTTTACAAACAAAAATGTATGATGAGTCCCATGTGGTTATCGATATGTACATTCCTATAAAAGTTCATGGCTTTATCTCTTTCGGTTTTTGAGTTATGCTGGTCGAACAGGAAGAAGAAGAAGAAGAACAAAACTCCCTATCATAGCCCCATAAATCTATGATGCTAGGTACCATGTCAATCCCTATATACTAAGTACTACCGTACTTAGTGATATCATGTACCAATGAAGGAATTGATGACTCTTTTTTGTTAACAACTTTGAAAGCCTTCCAAAACTGTTTTTGTCATTGGTATTGAGGCAGGTAAAGTAAGTTCGCTTGGAAGAGCGCAGTACACTTACAAATTTATTTCGCAATTTTCGATACTTAGCTTCATCTGAGGCTTTTCCAGACTTTTTAGCCCTTCTAAAAGCAGCATTACGGTTCCTAATTAGCTTAATTAGAGCATAGGTTATCCATGGCAATCTTCTATTCTTTGGCAGAATTTTCCTAGGAATACACTTTTCCATAATTTCAAGGTAAGTCTGCTGGCATAATAGAGCACGTTCATCTATGGTCCCCTTGAGGAGATTATCCCAGTCTGTCTCACGGATTAGGTGCCTGGCCTTGTTGAAGTCAGCCTGACTATAGATCCACACAAGTCTGGGTCGACCATTACGACGACTTGGCTGCTGATTGAGTACCAGTGATATTCCATGGTGATCCGAAGAACCCAAGGGACTAATTATTTCACATCTGAAGAGCTTTGATGAGTCTGAAAGGAAGGCTAGATCAATCAACGATTTGCTGCCATTGGGATGGACATGAGTGGGATGACACAACCTGTGTAAGGGAGAAGCTATGTACAATATTATTGAGGTGATCAAATAGTCAGAGCTGTTACAACAAAAATTTACATTAAAATCACCAAGTAATAAGAATGTAGAAAAATAAAATGACTGCAGAGTGTAAAATAAATGGTCAAAAATGGAAACTGTGGAAGAAGGAGGACGATAAAAGAGTGACACACAAGTATTGGATGACTGATGGTTTGAAAAAAGTACAGACAAAAATAAGTTATATGGGCCTGATTGTAACAAAACTCTGAAAGAAAACAAATCTTTTATATACATCAGAATCCCTCCACCATTTCTGTTTCTGTCCAGTCTCTAGTGTTTACATTGTTGGCATTACAAGAGCTTTCGCCCTCAACAATAGTGTTGACAGTTAATGGTCCTGAAGTGATTGTTCCCCCTCCTCCTGGAGAGGGCCTGCTAACAAAGGGGGAGAAGACGAGTTGATGCCAGAGACATGTTCTGGTTCAGATGGAGCAGTTGAAGGAGACCCATGTTGTGATAACCTGGCGGTAAGCACCTGGCTTTCCGCAGCATAGGTATCATTACCCTGTGAGGTTGAATGGTGAACCGCAGGCTCGGAGCTTAATTTTGCACTGAAAGAAACGGGTTCGAGCTTCCATGCTGTTTGAATCTGGATCTTTTGCCAATGATTTTCCAGAGCTCGCAGAGTTTGTTCAGAAGCTCTGAGGATGAACCACCATCTTGTCAACCTTCTGCCATTTTTCTCTTTAACCTTGTATTTGCGCTTTACTAGAATTTCATTTCTGATACCAGGCTTAGAGCGTTTTCCACTGCAGCTGTTGTAGTAGATTTGAGAGTGCCCCACTCTCTTCTCACACCACTGAGGATTGGGGTAATGGTATTGGTATCTGTACCTGTGTGACTGTCGGAGCTCGGAGACCCAGGCTGTGGCTGCTTTCTGAAGACTGCCTAGACGGCTGCTGGCGAGCAAACAGCTCTTTTACCTGTAATACACACGAGCTGACTGCATGACTTGTGCACCGGTCTTGCGCATGCGCGAACCCGGGATGCAGTGGTGGGGGGCTAAGCCCCCTGATCACGAAATGTGGTAGGGCTACAGCCCACTAGCCCCACCGCTCGTGCCGCCCATGCTAGGAAACAATCTGCCACGCTGTCCTGAGAGGAATGGAAGGGACTACTCTGGTTTTCTGTCAGAGAAGACCAAGGCCAACAAGACGAGGTTGGCCAGCTGCAAGTTTGCCCACGCTGTCACACCTAAGCTGAAGGAACAGTGCAACTTGTTGTATTGTGTCAGCTTCTGAGTCATGCCCCCTCCCATCATCTCCCATGGTCAGCAGTGGGCTGCTGCCTCCCCTCTCCGTCTGATTCATCGTCACCACCAGTCCCACAATATGGCGATCCTAGTCAGATCCCCCCCACAACCGCCAAACACTACCTCTGAGTTTACTCCTAAGGTTCGTCTGCCCAGGTCAGATGAGGACTGGGGGAAGGTTTGAGCATAACCTGGTACCTCAGGTGATTAGTGAGCCTTCTGCTGATAGCAAGTATGCAGTGCTTGTGGAGGGAGTGTACCATTATTACTTTGATGTGAATTTTGGAGCAAGACAGAATAAACAACAGAGCAGGTTGGCTAGGCAAGTGAAAGAGGCTAAGGCACTGAAGAATGATGCTGGACGTGAACTTATGCCAAGAAGTCAACCTCACTGTCCCAAGTGCAAGTCAGTTCCATCGCAAAGAAATTCTTCCAGTCAGTCCGTTCTCACAATAAGCTCACGAGGGCGCTCCGACAATCCCAGGTCGGGTCTACACAAAAGCAGCCCGTCATCAATGTCATGAAAATCTGTGGAGGTTTACAAGAAGGCTACTTGACGGTGATACTGTATCTGACATTCAGCCCACCTTTTCAGAATCTGAAGCAACATCCTTCTTCTCGTCAATCTACCAGTCTGAACCACGGTCATTCACGCAGCCTTCGTGGTTACCATCTGCCTCGACTCCAGTAGTCGACTTCAATGAGGAGGATATCTCCATTGCTGAGATAGTTCAAGCCGTGAAGAGGTCTCAGTCAAATTCTGCTCCGTCTCCAGTTGATGGAATATGGTACACTGTGTTCAAGAAGTGCCCTGCTCTGTTGGTTGCCCTGCACAACATCTTCAACCTTTGCTGGGCAACTTCTGTTGTTCCATCTGCGTGGAGAATGGGTGCTGTCATCTTGCCCGGTCTGACCCATCTTCTCCAGCTAACTTCAGACTAATAGCCCTCACTTCGTGTGTCGGGAAGCTTTTCTCCACCATCATCAGGAATCGTTTTCTTAATTATATGCTTACCAACAAGAATGCATATGCCAGCGACACCAGGCTGTTCTGAGCATCACCTGAAACTAGCTACGACTCTGAGTGATGCAAAGAGGAGGCACTGCTCCCTGGCGGTCTGCTGGGTTGACTTGGCAAATGCGTATGGGAGCGTGCATCATTCTCTCATCCTTTACTCCCTCAAGCACTATCACGCGCCATCTAAGCTGATCAGCCAGGTCAAGGCCTTCTACACCGCCCAGGTTAGTGCTGCCTCATGGACTACCCCCCTTATTCCTATTCAGCTGGGTGTCTACCAGGGTGATCCACTCTCTGTGGTTATTTTCAATACTGTTATCAACACCCTGGTGGACACACTTCAGACAAGGAGAGATCTGGGCTTCAGGTACTCCCAGTCCCAATTGTCTGTCAATCTTCTCCAGTACTGATGATACCTGTCTCATCGGCAACTCTCCAGCTGCATGTCAGCACCTATTGGAAATGATGGCCTTGTGGCTCCAATGGTCCGGGATGAAGGTGACGTTACCGAAGTGTGCGTGTTTGGGCCTGCAGGCATCGACTGGGAAAAAGATTGGCCCATGCCTCTCCCTCAACAACCAGCAAGTTCCGTATGCTCCCAATGGAGTCAAGTTTCTGGGCCTGGCCATTGATGTTCCACCTGACCAGTCTAAGTCCCGAACTGAGCTTGCGTCTAAGTTCGAGGATATGTTAGCCAAGGTCGACGCCTGCCCTCTTACCCGCAAGCAAAAGCTCCTGCTGTACAGATCAGGGGTGTGTCCACGTCTCATGTGGAGGCTGTCTGTGGAGAAGTTCCCCATCTCGTGGGTAAGGAAGGGCCTGGATTCACTGGCTTCGAGGAGCTGGTCAGGCAGACTCTGATTCATGTCCTCAACACATGCAAAGCGGCCGTGATGGACGAAGATTCAGTAGCCCGCCATGATGCCATTCTTGCGGAAATCGCTTGCCTCCTGTCAGCCCATATCTCCCCACCTGCCAATGGTATCCTACACATTTCCTCAGCATAAATGTGGCCACTGATCTACGCACTGGTGGGATGACTCACTGCGGAGGATTGTGCTCATTGAGCTCACTATCTGCTTCGCAACCTCCTTCCACCATGCAGCAGAGCGTAAAGAGCTGAAATACGAAGATGTGATGGCAAGGGCCCGGTCAGCTGGGTACAGTGGTCACCTGATTACCCTCCAAGTGGGATCGAGAGGAATTGTTGACCAGGCCGGCTTTTCACATCTCAAGCATGAACTCAACATCGGTAAGCAGGTCCTTACACAGTTTCTGACTCGCGTCAGCTACCTAGTGATCCAGGAATCATTCAAGATCTGGTGTCGGAGAAACGCCGAACTAACTTAGTCACCCGCTCTTACTCTTTTAGTAGCTCATTTATCTTTTTTTAGCCTGAGGAGGGCAGTACCACTGTATGTATTTGTAGTGCACTTTGGTATCAGCAGTAGGACGTGAGTCTAGCAAGATGCTAGTAAACGGTTTTCAACATTATTTTATCACTCAGAGCCTAAGACATCGCATAGGCCCACTTCTTGCGCGCGGGGTAGAAAGGCCACGGTAGATGTCCTGATGCTCTGAAACGGCTGCTAAACATGTATAGAGTATGTCCATAATAATGTAAACTCACACCAACTCGTCCAAATTATATAAAATTAATACATACATTGTGCAGATTATGCTTACTCTCACTCTGTAGTTTCCCACAATCCACTTACTACTACCTACTATGAGTTAGTGCAATACGTTGTAGCTCTGCATTTTTTTACGCCTACACCGGCGATATATACAAGTAGTGGCTATCACAATCATCACCAAAACTGCTACCCCACTAACACTTAGAAGAGCTATTTTCCACCATGCAAACCGATCAGATTCTTGCTCATCAGGGTTGAAATTGAGTTTTTGATTAAACTCTGCTATAGTCCAGGTGAAATTTCCACATGAGCGCATCCCTTTCGGCGGGGGGTTCTGCTGAGCTTGTGCTTCATCAACAACAAGGGCCATCCCTTCTAATTGGTGGGGCTCGATATGGCAATGAAGAAACCAAAAGCCAGGGTTGTCTGATATGAACTGCATGACAACATAACCACCTGCTGGCACAATCACTGTGTCTTTGCGAACTGTCCATTTGTCTACAGTGAAATTCAATACTTTTTCATCATTCCACTGTGGCTTCACGCAAAGGCTTCTGGTACTTCCGTTCGAACAGACTAAGTCATCGGAACTGCTTAAGATCCTCCCTGTTGTTTGATTGTATGTGCCATACCCAGTTGCTACTACATGAAAGCTGTGCCCATGTAGGTGGACGGGATGACTGAATCTTCTACGTGACATACTCAAACCAACAGTACTGATAACAAATCTCACAGTTTTCTTGTATGGGATTTCATGAACATGAAGGCAATGACACCCCAATTCGCACGTGTCATCAAGATTACAGGCTATTTTCTCCCTTTCCTTGTCAAATTCCTCGGTTTGGGTTTGCAATGAAGCAGATGGAAAGATGAAGTTCCTTCCATTTATAGTGCTGGTGCGTTGAGGATTCTCAAATGCAAAGTTAAAAATCAATTCATTGTCAGCTTCAGAAGAGGGTAGTTCGTAGTCTGGTGTTGGGTAGAGTAACTTTAGCTCATAGACATTGACACAATGTATGTTGTATGAGGGGTGGAAACTCTGAAATGGACAGTTTACAGCAGTGCACTGGGAACCTTCTGAGCAGTTCTTTTGATGAGATACAATAGTCCCATAGTCCAAAGGACTTGGTGGTTCATCTCTACTATAGTGAAGAATTGCAAGAGCCTCGTGAGGAATTTGGGAATATGGTGGCTCCTCATTTGTATTAAATTCAAGCTCCAGTGTATGTGCACGTATGAAGAAGTTGTTATATTCTGTCTCATTAGTAGTTACAATAATGTCATACCTTTCTCCAGTGTGTATTATAAGAAAGTCTGTTTCAACTGGTTTGATAAAGTAGCCATCGGTTGCTATAACTGTTAGTCGGTGTGCATCAATTGAAAAGTTGAAAGCATAAACCGACTGCGCTCCAATTAACCGAAAGCGATAGCTCTTTCCTTTATCCACTTCAAAGAGTGATAAAATTGATCGGTTAAGGGGAACAGAAGAGTGGATACCTCTACCATTTATTAGCCCTGACCAGTACTTGAGGACACCAATACCAGACCCATCCGCGGCTTGGGTCGGAAAGTAGAAGTCGCTACTACTTGTTGGAACTACATCAACTGGCCCATCTGCTGGGGGAAAGTATCGAATCTTTGAGTGAATCTTGGAGAAAAGGTCAAGTGATTCCTCCCTTTGCCAATCCAAGAAAGATATCGTATGTCTCTCCGGTAAATCTTCAAAATCGATTCCAAGATCATGCTGAGTGGTGTTGGACGCTTCGAGGACTATCAACCCACCATACATACCATCCGTACGTTGTGCTCCACTATGGGAATGGTACCAGAAGGTGCCAGGTGGATATGCCTTGAAAATATATCTGAATGAAGCACCAGGGAGGATTGGACACTGCGAAATAAATCCGATACCATCCATCCAAGGAGTGTTTCGCTGGTGCATTCCATGCCAGTGGATGGAGATGCCCTCATCACTTAGTAAATTTTCGACATCGGCAACAACGGTCTGGTTCTCATGTATTATGAGTGTTGGACCAGGAATTCGGCCATTGATTGCATAAAACGAACGGAATGTTCTTCCATCGACCGTATTTGCCTCAGTACAGTTTACTTCTTCACAAGAGATGGTAGGAGTTGGTGGTACTGGAGAAACAGGCTGAAGTTGCCCAGTTGTATTAATGAAATACACTTTCCCCTGGGAACCAGGAGGTGCATCGATTTGATAACGGGTGAATGTCAGCAACTGTTTCACTCTTAGTTGAAAATGGCACACTTGTGCTTCCTCTAAACTGGGGCATGCACATGCTGTCATATATTCATCACAAACAGCATTTGCAACAGATTCCTGACCCCATGAATGATTAATGAATACTATTAAACATTGTACCACTATAATAACAGTGGTCATGGGACTCATACTGCAGGGTAAACACCTGCAGGATAAAGAAAATCAAGGACCAAATAATTCCCATATGTGGTTTACAACACAGTGAGTAATTACAAGGACGAAGTAAAGAAAGAGGTATTGTGAATGTGTTAATGAGGGACTGTAAGCGATAGAGCCAGGTTCTGAGAAATACAACAAAACCAACACACACATACACAAGTGTATAATTACTGCTAAAGTGCATGTTTACAGGCAGCGAAGAGCACTTGTAACAAAGGCATAATTAGAAGGAAAAAGGCAATGACGGAAAATAGACTGAAGGCTGAAATGTCCGCTACAGCACAAGGCAAATGTTCAGCTAGCTATGTGTAACGCATTATGCGCGGACAGAGACCAGTTGTTACATAAGCTGTGTAGCAAACGCTAACAACACTCACAGTGTAAGACTCCTTTTCCGGCCTTTATTGCTGCTATATTATACGCAATGGAATCTGCAACAGAAGTTCATTAAACGTCACTGACACTGACACGACTGACGGAGCTGCCGATAGCGAGAGAGCGTAGGTAAAGTCCTCATTCAACTTTGCTACGTGCCTATAAATCAGCACCGTAGAAGATGGGCGTTCGGTGTCTAATTGCACAGATGGGCGGACACGAGTGCGAAAGGATAAGGGCTCTGCGAAACGAGGCGTTGACCCGCGGCTAGCGCGCGCGTGCAGTATGCGCGTGTGTTGCTTCGGTCTCATGCTCCGCCGTGACAAGGGACACAGGCTGCTGGGGGAGTGGATTAGAGTCGCATTCATGAGTAGTTTGCTCGAGCCTGACAGTACACGACTAAAGATAGAGTATGCCGAAAAGAATTAGAACTCGCTCTGGTGAAACCATCATTGCGTGTTTCGTGTCGGATGCGCGCCACCTCACGCAGCGCAACGGCGCTGCGTTCGCTAGTAAGTTTTATAACAGGTGACGTCAGGCGTGGGACCGTGGCTGGTAGGTGTTCCCTGGTGCTTTGAACTGCAATTTATGGCACAGTATACAGTATGTATGAGCAGACGGGGTAAACACCAAAGACGCCCTACTCCAAACAGGCTGAATATATGCATGTGTCCACCACAAGGTAAAGAGGTAGAAAGGCAACTACACCCAGGACTTGTGGAGAGGATGCAACACATTTTATATACCAAGTACTACCGTACTTAGTGATAAGTACTACCGTACTTAGTGATAAGTACTACCGTACTTAGTGATAAGTACTACCGTACTTAGTGATTGAGGGTACCAGTGGTTTGAGCCTTTGTGTAGTGTTGTGTTGTAGATTCGAACCCCTACTAGCTGAGTTGCCCTGGTAGCTCAGTTGGTAGAACGCTCGCCTCTAAAGCAGAGTGTCGTGGGTTTGAATTAATGTTTCAAGTCAATATACATCACCTGCACTGTTTATTTTACCCTGAACAAAAACAAGTCAATGCAGCAATGTATGTATGTCAAAAGATGGGCCGTTCTTACGGACATAACATAGGGTGCTAGAATAGAGCTTTTTATGGCATCCCTCTTATATTCCACTTCGCATAAGTATCAGCAACCCTGCATAGTTGAATTTGGTTTTCTCGTATTATACGTATGTTTTCCATGTAATGATGTTATGCATGTACATTGTTTTGGTCAGCTGATTTTTACGACAGTACACATAACTGCTCGCACCTTGATGTGCATACACTCCATGGGAATGTATATAGCATGACAGAACGATCATTATTAAGTAGTACAGTACTTAGCAATACTCTTTCATAACCTTCACTCCCACTGTACGACGATATAGGGCTGTTGTAATGACCTGTGGGAGTCCTTAACCCCTCGCTATATAGCATCTCTGTGCTTCTACAAACACCATCCCTATCTTGTCTCCCTTTTTTTTATACCTCCCTATATGCCACTCTTTTTTAAATTCGCAGATTTTATTTACTTGTCTCCACGTCATTTTTAGATACTACTACGTATTGAAGGGGCAAGCCCCTATAAAATTTATATAGGAAAAAATTCCTGTTGTCCGTCAGGAAATGAATGCATACCATCCATGTGTGCACTTTGAGGATAAGAAGTATTTTAAAGAAAATTGCCTGCAGGCTATTTGCTGTTGTTGTCGTCTGAAAAATGATGTGTACACACATGTTTGTAACCAAGTTTCATCTCCATGTCGTGTTTACCTGTTTAGCGAGTTTGAGGATGAAGAGTAATTTTAAGAAATGCCTCGCTGCTATTTGTGTGGTCGTTATCTGAAATGATGTAATACCCATTGCGCACCAAGTTTCACTCCCTCCATGTGGCGTGCTACCATTCGGAAAGTTCTGAGAAGTGAAGAGTTAATTTAAAGAAAGTGCCGGAGGCTATTGTTGTTATATACAAACAGGTATTGGTTGTGCTTTGATGTGGCTATTAATACATTGTGTATACAAACCTTCCACTCCCATAAACTCTACACTCAATTCGTGAGTCTCACTACTGACCCATTTTGTAAGTCCATTATAATGTTTGCCCGCCTGGGCAATTTTGTTGTTGTTTACAGTAACAAACACAAAGTTTAAGTTGCACATGTGGCTGAGTTGTACACTTCTATCGGACATGTTACAATCCTACAAAATTTCTGGCTTTTAATCCTCTTTCGTTTTTGAGTTATGCCCTGGTTGAACAGGAAGAAAAGATGAAAACTGTCCCCATACATCGATGGAGGCGAGGTACCTCATGCCAATCCCTATAGATCCAAGTTACTACACCGTACGAGTGATTGAGGGTAACCAGTGGTTTGGAGAGCCTTTGTCGTAGTGTGTTGTGTGTAGTTATTCAAACCCCTACTTAGCTGAGTTGCCCTGGTAGCTCAGTGGTAGACTACGCTCGGCCTCTAAGCAGAGTGTCGTGGGTTTCAATTAATGTTTCAAGTCAATATACATCACCTGCACTGTTTAGTTTACCCTGAACAAAAACAAGCACAATCATGAGTTTCGTAGGACTATTGGCTATAGTACTGCATGAAATAATATTGGAAAAGCTGGTTCGTGTGAAGAACAGTAAGTAGCTACACAATTTTTAAATTCACTTTTGAAAAAAACCTCTTGGAGGCAGAGAAGCAAGGTACAACTATCTGATTGTCACTGCTTTTGGGTGTCTTTTCCATGCCCCTCAACACCAAATGACTTAAAGTGTAACAAGCGAATTAAAAAAGCGTGGAATATAGGGATGCCATAAAAAGCAAAGAGACAAGACAGGGATGACCTAGTGCATGTGATGCAGTAGTACAATGGATGATGGTAACATCTTCAAACTGACACTTCTTGCGCGTGTAAATTTTACTCCACACAAGCCCTATATTGTCGCAAAGCACGAGTGATCTCTATCGTATGATGTGCAGCTTTGACTCGTTTCCTATGGACAGCTAATGCCCTCTCTGACAGGTCAGTTTTGAGTCGTGACTGTATTTTATAGTCTATGACTTCAATGTTCGCTAACCAGTTTTTACAATGCTGCTTTACATAATTCCTTTGCCAGTCTTCACACAACATCATTCAAAACCCATGTAAGAGCTTGGAGTAAAATTTACACGACTGCATCACATACTCTAGGTCATCCCTATCTTGTCTCTCTTGTCTCTTTGCGTTTTATGGCATCCCTCTTATATTCCACTTCCTCGTGAAAATTTTACTCCACACAAGCCCTATATTGTCACAAAGCACGACTGATCTCTATCGTATGATGTGCAGCTTTGACTCGTGTCCTATGGACAGCTAATGCCCTCTCTGACAGGTCAGTCTTGAGTCGTGACTGTATTTCATAGTCTATGACTTCAATGTTCGCTAACCAGTTTTTTACAATGCTCTTTACATAATTCCTTTGCCAGTCTTCACACAACATCATTCAAAACCCATGTAAGAGCTTGGAGTAAAATTTACACGACTGCATCACATACTCTAGGTCATCCCTATCTTGTCTCTCTTGTCTCTTTGCGTTTTATGGCATCCCTCTTATATTCCACTTGCTCGTGAAAACTTTACTCCACACAAGCCCTATATTGTCGCAAAGCACGACTGATCTCTATCGTATGATGTGCAGCTTTGACTCGTGTCCTATGGACAGCTAATGCCCTCTCTGACAGGTCAGTCTTGAGTCGTGACTGTATTTTATAGTCTATGACTTCAATGTTCGCTAACCAGTTTTTACAATGCTGCTTTACATAATTCCTTTGCCAGTCTTCACACAACATCATTCAAAACCCATGTAAGAGCTTGGAGTAAAATTTACACGACTGCATCACATACTCTAGGTCATCCCTATCTTGTCTCTCTTGTCTCTTTGCTTTTATGGCATCCCTCTTATATTCCACACGTTTTTAATTGGAAGAATTTTTGAAATTCACTTTGTCTCCTTTCCTTAATAACCCTCGGCGTGCATGCTATGAACTATAATTTCATGCGCAGCGAGGGATAGAGTACTTGGTTTGTCATTCCGTCCGTCTGCCTGTCTGTTACAACCACCACGCGCAACAAGACAACAAAACAGCGATACCAACAGTTAATTTCCAGACTGGCTTGATTGTGATTATCGTAGAAATGCTGCGTTATGGCATGAAAACCAAGTGAACAAGCCAATATGCTAATTAGCACTGGACCTGATGCGCTTGCTCTGTGTACCTCAGTGGCACAAGATTCCAAAATGAAGGGCGTGCGTCGACTCCTGCATCCTATCTACTACTGTAGCTAGCTTGTCTCAGACTCTCCGTGAGCTACTAGCAGGAGACCACGAGTAAACGAGGCCCAACCCATCAATTAGCGTTACCGCACGCACTTTAGTGCTTTTCATTTTTCATTTTTACTCCATTCACATGCATGGTGTGCAATATAATGCATAATAGAATTAAGGGCCTATTATTGCACGTTTCTTTCACCCCTAAAGTACATATGGGGTGGCAATTTTTATTAACCCTCGGCGCGCATGCGCATTGAGGGTTACAGTAGTTAACCCTCGGCGCGCATGCGCAGCGAGGGTTACTGTAGTTGGGTTTGTTTGTCTGTCTGTGTGTCTGTCTGTCTGTTACTCTCAATCTCACTTCTCGAGGAGTGTTCGTTCGTCTCAAAAAAGATACCACCTACTGAACGGGCGATGAAGGTCAGAAATTTCGAACCGTTTTCTCTGAAAACGCTACATTGCAAAGCTAGAGCGCGAAAAGAAATACACAACGGCTACTACGACATGATCGACCCGCGTGCTCTGCGTATATAGCTCGGAGGCACCAGAAGATGTAACGCAGGGCGTATCGCCTCTCGCTAGTAGTGTAGTTAGCCCGCGTCAGACTGCGCGAGCTGGCAAGAGACCACGAGTAACAGCTAAAACTAAACCCAGCCCATGAATTAGTGGTACTGCGCATGCGTTTACTTACGCGTGCGCGTCACAGTGCGCCGAGGGTTTGCACTTCAGTGCTTTTCATTACCCTCGGTGCGCATGCGCAGCGAGGGTACTGTAGTTGGGTTGTCTGTCTGTCTGTCTGTCTGTTACTCTCAATCTCACTTCTCGAATCTCTGTTCGTCTCACAAACGATACGCCCTACTTAACAGGCAATGAAGGTCAGAACTTTCGAACGGTTTTCTCTGAAACTGCTCCGTTGCAGAGCTAGAGCGCTTCCGCCATTGT